CATCAGCCCACTCAGCGTCCTCTCCTGCCTCTTCCCCGGCCTCTTCCATGACGATGGGTGAGCGTGAGTGTGAGCACGAGCATGTGTGTGTCGTGGGAGGATTCCTTGTGAGTGGAAAGAAACAAACTCTTTTGGCCCAGAGGAAAGTGTCACCTTCCAGGTTATGGTGCAGACAGTGTGTAGCCTGGGCCCCCAACCCCAAGTCAGCAGAAGGAGAGACTGGTGGCTAGGTTGGGGTACCTCCCCTGGAGAGTCCTCTCTGGAAGTCCCAGAGAACTCCTCTCAGGATCCTTCCTTGCTGTCCCTCCCACACAGATCTGAGTTCCCCCAGAAGTATTACTGGTGGTTCTTCCAGACCATACCAGGTGAGAGCCCTCCCTGCTCTGTGAATCTCTAGGCCTGACTCTGAGCTCAAGGCTCTGGTTCTGTCTGCCATGCCTCAGCCCAGACACACACACTTAGCTCTCACAGTGAGCCAGGCTCTGCCTTCTGGCCCTGGACACTCCTGGGCAGTGGGAGACTTCGGCTACTCTGCATTCCAATCCTCCTCTCAGGAGCTTAGCTTGTTCCTGGCCTACTCTGGACTAGTCCGGTGGAATGGGAACCCTCCATTCCATGCTCGCCCCAACACACACACACACACCCCTGCCATGACAGTAGCTTTGAGGAACATTGTGCCCCAGCTGCATGGGGGAGGGATCAGGTTCTTAGTCAAGCCAGATAGAAGCCTCTGCTCCTTGTAGCATGTCTTGACAAGGGCTGTTTAGGGGCATATTCCTAACTCCCTATAATCACCCTTTTTAGAGCTATTAGCTGTGAATCTATTCAAACTCTTCTTGAACCTATTTATATTTTCAGTCTGTTCCCTCCTTGGGGTAACACAGTTTCTATACTAGCTCCTCTCTGTGAAACACAACATAGGTTTTTTATTTTTTTTAATCCTAAAACGATCTGCTTTGAACTTCAGAGGGTGCTTGCTAATTCCTGCACACTGGGATTTAGTGGATAAGGCTGTGTTTATGCTCTCCTCTCCGTTCAGGACTTTACAGGCTTTGGTTAGATCCCTTCTTAACCTTTGCGTTTTCATACTGCTGGGCTCTAATCTTCCTAATTTCTGCCTTTCTCCTTGATCACCCGAGGGACCATTCTCTGTCCTCCCACCCTGCCCTGGCTCCAGTAGTATCCTCCTGTATACCTGCAGCCTGGGATCCCCTGTGAGAAGAGGAGCCTCCCACCAACTTGGGGTTATACCCCAGGGGCTCTGGTGATAGCAGGGACAGTGTAGTCCTGCCAACTCACTGCCAGTGCCAATACTCATGCTGTGTGGCGTGGCAGCAAGTGGAGCAGTGCAGGGACCAAGCCTTGACTCCATGAGGGCAGGACCTGCAATTCCCAGTGCCTGGCCCAAAGGACCCAGAGTGGATGCCCTGTGCATTCATTCATTCAGCACACATTTATATAAGGGCGCTGGTATGCCAGGTCCTTGCACTAGGCACTGGGATTCAGTGGTGAACTAACCTAGCCCTGTCCCTGTTCTCGTGGACCTGAGAGTCAGGAAAGTGACAGACACAAAACAAATGATGACACAGGTAAAAAATGACCGTGGTGACAAGGGCTATGAAGGATGAGTAGGATCTGTTGAAATAAAGGTACTGTGATCAGAGGTGTGGGGGGAGAGGAACAGAGGAGGATGCTGGGACTTTCTTGCCCCCACTTTGGGCAGTGCAATGGAGGGCGGGCCCTGACCCCGGAAGCCTCAGGACAGGCCTCTCTACAAGGCCCTGCTCCTCTGCCCCTCCCCTTCCATGTTCACTCTGCAGGCCTCACGGGGGTGCTGCTGCTCCTGGTCCTGGCCATCATGTACGTCTTCGCCTCCCACCACTTCCGCCGCTGCAGCTTCCGGGGCTTCTGGCTGACCCACCACCTCTACATCGTGCTCTACATCCTGGTGAGGGCTCTGGCTGTGAGCCAGGCCAGCAGGGTACAGGCAGCACGTACCCAGGGAGGCCATGGAGGTTGAGACCCGAATTCTCCATCCCCTTAGTTATTTCAAATATCGTCTTCACCTCTTGACATCCCTCTTTGAAGACAGAGATTATATAGGGGCTCTCCAGTAGGCTAACCCCAGCATGCCGCCCTCGGGAGACTGCCTCCCCGGCGTGGGTTTTGCAGTAGCAACACTGCAAGGCTGATCTGCATCCTCACAGACACCCCCACGTCACTCTGCCCAACCAGTCTTTCCCAACTTTGGATGGCTGGTTTTGGCTCCTGAGTGGACTGCCTGCACCTAAGGGAGCATCACCCTTTTTAGAGAAACTTATCTTAAATGAAATGAAAGTTTCTTTAGAGAAACTAAATGAAAATTTCTTTAGAGAAACTTATCTTAAATCTTAAAACTTATCTACCACTTTTGTTCTGCTCTTGCTTTGGGGGGCATTAGCCACACCACCCAGCTAAGTGCTATCTATACAGTAAATGAGCTTGTCTAAAATGTGTTCAGTTGGATTGCTGATGAAATGGCTTTTTATGACTTTACTTAACCCCTTCTCCTTTAACTTTGGCTCCTCCCTCCCTTCCTTCCCATTCCCTCCTTGCTCCTGTTCCCTTCACCCTCCCCTGGGTTTCTCATCCTGAGCTGACACTGTCCCTGTGTTAAGGCTCTGCCTGCCTTCCTTACTCATGAACACAGCTTCCCAAGGGGCACTCTGAGGGCCTTGCTGGGAAGCTAAACTATGTCCCAAGGCCCCAGCTGCCTCCACCAGTTGATGGCTTGGCTGCCAGCATTCAAGGAGCCCAGAGCCTGTATGGCTGCCCTTTTGATTTCCAGGCTGCAGGCAGAACTGCACACAGGTGTCTCCTTTGTCCTGAGACAAAGAAAGAGTACACCTTTGCCCTAGTCAGGCTGGCTCCTGTGGTCTGACCTGCTTCCTCTCAGGCGCAGTTCTGTCCTCACTGAGAAGTAAGAAGGTCTATTTCATCTTGCCTGTGGCTCAGCATTTCACGGTTCTGAAGATGACTACTCAGCTTTGGCTTAGGATGTTTTCTAGCACTGATGATGTTTGTTTCCAAAGAAATCTCTCCCTTCTTTGGAAGCTGTGGCTAATTTACCCCTCCCTCCTCATCCTCCCAGTCAGGGGTGGAGCCCTAGCATCCTGGGAAGCTGCTTCTGTTCAGGGTGGAGATGATGTTCCTCTTCCTGGTGTGATAAAGCAGCTTCTTTGAACGAGATGGGACACCCAGAAGAGTCGCCAGCCTGGCTCCCTGAGACCACGAGCCCTTTCTGACTTAGCTCTGGGTTGTGGGCATCACTGGGATTCCAAGCTGCCCTTCCTGCCAGCAGGAAAGTCAGTGGCTCAGAGAGGCGCAGGCCTCTCTGCTGGGTGGTCCTCGCCTGGCAGCTTGGGGGCATCTGTCCTCAGGAGAGATCAGGGCAAAAGCATCCTCTTCCTTCCCACTTATCCCAGGTGTGGCCGTTGACTTTGGGCACAAGTTACAAGGACCCCAGTGTAGAGCGGACCCTGGGGAAGGATGTCCAGGGCCCTGATCCAGGCTGCAGAGGGCAGGGCTAGCACACCAGAGGCTGAGCTGGCTGGCTGCCTCCACCACCCTGGCCCCTCAGCCAACCAGGAATCTGCAGCAGCTTTGTGGTTTAAAACTAAAGCCAACACAAAATGGGGTGTATAAACAGAGAAGTGTGAGGTCACCCTGGCATTGTACTCAGCCTGGTTGGATGCTCAGAAAGCCTTGGGGGTGGGCGTGTACTCCACAATGAAAGAGGAGCTTGGGGAAAGCAGAGCCAGTTCAGAGAAGAGCTCAGAGAGGTTTAGAGGTTTATGTCAGTCTCATGGGGAAAGTTTCAAGAATTTGGGAATACTCAGCTGGAGGAAGGCATTTCTGAATGAGGGACAAGAGTTCAGTTTAACACATATCTATTAGGGTCTACTATATACTAGCTCTGTGTGAGCCCCAGCAGTGGAAGGGGAGACTCTAACCCCTACCTCAGGAACTTAGGATCTGCTGCAGAGATAAGTGCCGCATGCATTAAATGACCAAGTTAACACGCAATACACGAGTAATTGCTGAGTGGGATGTGCCAAACAGTAAGTTATAGGAGCTTATCGAAAGGTGTTACACTTGGGCTAAACTGGTTAGGGTAGACTTCGGGGAGAAGATGGGACTTGGGCCAAGACTTTGGGAGGGATAAGCTAAGCTTTGACAGGGCAGAGTGGAAACTGAAGAGCAACCCAGGTAGAAGGAAGGGTGCGGGCACCAGTGCAGGGGTGGGAATGGTGATACAATACTCAGGGCAGAGGGGACAGTCCTAGCTATGGATGGCCACAGGGCATCAGGTGGTGGCAGGACATGCTGAGGAGCTGTGTGGCTCGGTGGAGAGGCCACAGCACATGGCAGAGCATAGAAAGAGAAGAGCAGGCTTGGGCAACACCCATGACTGGGGGTGGCAGAAGGAATGGAGTGAGTGGAAGAGGTGGAAAGCAAGTGGCTCAAGAGACAAAGAGGGAGAACCAGTAGAGCACTGTTGCAGAAGTAGCCGAGATGGGGCGGTCACTAGTGCCGCAGGCTGCCAAGAGTGAAAGGGAACACAGTCTGAAAGGAGACCTTGGGGTTTGGCCATTTGTGGGGCTGGGGTGAGCCTTCAGTGGGCTGGTCCTAAGGAGAGGTGGAGGTGGGAGCCAGACTGACCCAGACTCAGGAGCAATCAAGTGGGAAGAAGGGACCAAGTAGTGTCTGACCACATTAGACAAGCTTTTTAGGGAAAGGTCCAGAGCTGGATGATACCTGTCAGTTATTTCATGGAAAGGGGGGACAAGTTAGGTGTTCTTAGCCTCCAAAGGGAGAGATCAGCTGGGAAAAACTCCTTTCCCCAACAGTTACTGAGTGCCTACCATGTGTCAGGTGGAAACTGCTAGCAGCTGGGAGTATAGTGGCAAATAGTCCCCACCTCTTCAGCCCAGTGGGGGAGACAACAGTAAACATGTAAATAAATAATTTACATTGCATTTATTACATGTAAATAAATAATAACAATTATTTCAAGCAAATAATTATGGATGATGACAAATGCTCTGAGGGAGTTAGCAGGCAGATGTGACGGACAGGACTGAGGGAAGGCCTGTGGAGGTGGTGTTTCTGCTGAGACCTGAGAAATGAGCTGGAGCAACCAGGGGAAGGGCATCCCAGGCAGGGGGAACAGCAAGGGCAAAGGTCTGGGAGTAGAAAGGACTTGCCAAGCTCGAGGAACAGGGACAGGGACGGGGAGATGGCTGGCAGGAAGAGGTCAGAGTGCTGCATTGTACTGCAGTGGGAAGGCCACTTAACCCTTTTAAGCTGGGGATGACATGATAAAATGAACTTTAAACAGTGGAAGTAGGTCTTGCTGCATGAGTCCAGGTGAGAGGCAACATGGCTTGGTCTAGGGTGGTGTCAGGAGCTGGCAAATAGTCTCATTCCTTGTAGAATGCTTTGGAGGGTGGAGTTGGGAGTAGCGAGGTCTGGGAACCTGGAAGGAGCATAGTCCCTTAATGAGGTGGGGTTGGCTATACCAGAAGGGAAGGATGCAGGGCCTAAAGCCTGAGCTGGCCTCATACCCTGTTGTGGGTGCCACTGTGTCTGAGCCGAACTCTCTCCTCTATCCAGCTCATCATCCACGGCAGCTTTGCCCTGATCCAGCTGCCACGTTTCCACATCTTCTTCCTGGTCCCGGCACTCATCTATGGTGGGGACAAGCTGGTGAGCCTGAGTCGGAAGAAGGTAGAGATCAGCGTGGTGAAGGCGGAGCTGCTGCCGTCAGGTACCAGCCTGGAGGCTGTCAGGGGACCAGCTTGGTGGCACTGAGGGAGATGACAGGGCAGGGGCAGAGCCTGGCCCAGTGAGGTGGCTGGGCCTGAGGTGGTAGGGACGAGGAAGCTGGCAATAAGAGCTCTTTGTCAGGAGACTTGAGGCTCTCATCACAGAAAGTGGGGAAGCCCAGGCCAGGCTGCCCCTTGCCCTGCTGGCCACCAGCCCCAGGGCTGCCCAGCCCTCCTCAGGGTGAGCTTCTGATGGGGGGAGCCTTCCCTTGTCATATTCCAGAAGCAGAGCTGAGGCTGTGTGTGTGTGGGGGGGGGGGACTCTCTGGAGCATTGTGGGAACAACCCACATTGTTGCTGGGTTCAGGGCAGCAGCTTCCCACCCACCATCCCTCCCCAGGGGTGACTTACCTGCGGTTCCAGCGGCCCCAGGGCTTTGAGTACAAGTCGGGGCAGTGGGTGCGGATCGCCTGCCTGGCTCTGGGGACCACCGAGTACCACCCCTTCACGCTGACCTCCGCGCCCCATGAGGACACGCTCAGCCTGCACATCCGGGCGGCAGGGCCCTGGACCACTCGCCTCAGGGAAATCTACTCACCCCCAACGGGTGACAGATGTGCCAGATACCCGAAGGTGCCCAGACCCAGGCCACCTGTGCCACCTGCTCACACTGCCCCTTAGCAGGCTTTGGCCCTGCAGCACCAGACTCCCCACGGTGTTCCTCCCCTCCCCCATCTGGAGATTGGTTGTTCCAGATAATGCCACAGCCCCCCTTTCCCCGTCACCCCACAAACCTTTCCCTGCCTCTCATTTCTGGTTTCAGAACTATGGTGGTGGCCAAGCTTAACCCAAACCCACTGCCCTCCCTACAGCTGTACCTCGATGGACCCTTTGGAGAGGGCCACCAGGAGTGGCATAAGTTTGAAGTGTCAGTGCTGGTGGGAGGGGGCATTGGAGTCACCCCCTTTGCCTCCATCCTCAAAGACCTGGTCTTCAAGTCATCAGTCAGCTGCCATGTGTTCTGTAAGAAGGTGAGTATCCCCTTCCCCCAGCCCGTGGCCCCTTCCTACTGATCACGGTGCCATCCGTGCCCCTCTCTCCTATCTCTGTTCCTGGCCTCCCAGATCCGGGCAAGGGCAAGTTGGCCTGAAACCCAGGTGGGTGGCAGGTGAGGAAGTGTCAGGATATCCCCAGACCCCGAAGGACAGAAGTGGCTTGCTGATGTTTCCAGCCTCCTGCCTCGTTTACAAAGGCACTTCCCTCAGTTATGGGGTGTTCCATGTAGGATTTGCTTCTGGGAGTCCCTGCAGGCAGGGTTGGAGGGGGATGAGAAACCCATTCCCTCTTATAGAGCAGGCCAGCAGCACTTGGAGCATATTGGGCTGGGAGAGGGAAGGGCACACTTGGGGTGGGGCACAGGTGAAACTGGCTCACCTTCCAAGTGGAAGAGGAGGGGAAGTGACAAGGCAGGGCCGGTGGGCCGGGCTGGCCCCAGGAACACAGCCCAAGCCCGCAGGCCCCTCCACACTGGGTCCCTTCACCCCAGCCTAGACCTGGTGGCAGGCCCCTGCTCGCCTCCCTGGGCCTGGTAGGTGAGTCAGGGGTGCCGGAATGCGGCGGGCAGAGGCCCAGCCCATGTGGTGTCAGCACTCAGAGGGTGACAGCTCCCCTCCTCTCCTCTGCCCACACCAGCTCTGCCTCTGCTTCTTAACCCACACAGCCCTGCTTCTCCCCCTCAGAAGTGGGAGAGGGCTCCCCCACAAGGCAGCTTCCAACCCCTGGTCTCTCTAGAGCCCATTCCCATCTGCCCCAGGCAGCTGGCTGGGTCTTCCCTGAGGCTGCTCTGTGAAATGTCCCTCGGCCTCTTGGTCCTCACAGCCTGAGCAGGGCCCACTGGAGTGGCAGGACAGGCCCAGCTAGGGAAAGCTGCTTCCCACCCGAGGGCCCCTCAGCTCTTTCCTTTCACACAGCCTTGGGCTGTCACTTCCACCTGGAAGTGCCTCTGGCCTCAGAGCCTGGCCCTGTGGCCCACACACTCCATCTCCGTGGGCTCTCTGGGGAGGGGCACGAGCTGGTTGAGGTCAGAAGAGTTCTGTTGCTATGGGGACCCCTGGGACCTAGGAGGACTGAGTCGAATAGGTCTTGAGCTCCAGCTGTGTGTCCCCAGATCTACTTCATCTGGGTGACTCGGACCCAGCGGCAGTTCGAGTGGCTGGCTGACATCATCCGGGAGGTGGAGGAGAATGACCGCCAGGACCTGGTGTCTGTGCACATCTACATCACCCAGCTGGCCGAGAAGTTCGACCTCAGGACCACCATGCTGGTATGTCGGGGCTGGCCAGGCAGGGCAGGGGGGCCACCGTCTGTACTAGGAGTTGACCCTGGCTGTACCTGGCTGGACTATCTTCCACCCCCTTTCCCTAGTACATCTGCGAGCGGCACTTCCAGAAGGTGCTGAACCGGAGTCTGTTCACGGGCCTGCGCTCTGTTACCCACTTTGGCCGCCCCCCCTTTGAGGCCTTCTTCAACTCCCTGCAGGAGGTCCACCCACAGGTCAGTCCCACCCTAATCAAGGTTCTGTTCACCTTTATCACCTGGGGTCTGAGCAAATCTCCCAAACCTGCTCCATCAGGGAAGGAGTCGGCTGCTGATGAGAACCCATGCTCTGGGAGATTGGTGAGGTGATGGAATGGAGAAGGATAGGTTGGGGTCATCCAGAGGTGCTCAGGGAGGAGGCAGGCAATAGGCACTTGCCCCCTCTGGAGCCACGATGCATCATCCAGAAGGAAGAGCTCAATAAAACCGAGGGCTACCCTCACCATTAATACTGAGCCAGCCCTCCCCTAGACTCTGAGCTAACCTTCACCAGAGCACTTGGCTAGGCACTACTCTCATAAAGACTGGGCTAGCCCTCAACTTGAACATTGATTGACCCAGCCTCTATTAGAAGATGCTGATCTAGCACTTTACCAAACTGAGCTAGACTTATAAACACTGAACCAGCCCTTACCAAGCATGGCACAAAGCAAGCTCCGTAGGGAGCACTGAATGAGCCCTCACCATGGGCTCTTGCTGGTCTTTAACATAAACACTGAGCTAGCTCTGCCTCTGAACAACAAGCTAGCCTTCATATCTTCCTCCTGCAACAGGTCCGGAAGATCGGGGTGTTTAGCTGCGGCCCCCCTGGCATGACCAAGAATGTGGAAAAGGCCTGTCAGGTCATCAACAAGCAGGACCGGACTCATTTCTCCCATCATTATGAGAACTTCTAGGCCCCCTGCCCAGGGGCTCTGCTCACTGCCACGCTGAGCAAAGGTTTGGGGCCATACCTCACCACTGTACTTCCTGTTTCTGGCTGCATCAGCCTTCTGCCCCTTCCCACCTCCCAAACTTGGTCCTGGCGGCCATGTTTAGTCACTGTGTGTGGGCTCAGGGTCCAGGTCCAGAATGTGTCTCAGCCTGGAGAAATGGGGGCACTGTCTAGGGACTAGAGGTTGGGAAGCAAGGAAGTTATTGGTTTGGGGCAAAGTGCAGCCTCTTCTTCCAGGCTAAAAAGAAAAACCCCAAAAGACAAGTTGCCAAGTAGTGCATGTGTGTGTGTGCGTGTATATGTGTGTGTGCCTGTGTGTGTAGGGGGCTGTGAGCCTAAGGATCAAGTAGGAACACAGATGCTGGCATCTTAGAACCCTCTGTATCCCCACACCCCCTCCCCACTGTCATAAGCAAATGCCTTGAGGAGGTAGAGGCTGGACCAATGGCATGCAATTTACAGATGCCCCCAGCACCCCAATCTAACAGCACAATTTATCTTCTCTCCCAAGTTTTTAGACATGTACTGTAGTCAGACCCTGGCCTGGGACCTATCTATGCAGTGCTCCTCCACCCTCTGCTCCAGTAGTCTCCTTTACAAATAAATCACTTTTCTGCCTTCAGGGTTTCTTTATTCTGCCCTAGGACAGGGTGGGGAACCAACAGAGGAAACCACTCACCCAACTGGCTCACCAGGCTGGTCCAGACGCCTCTCTGAGCTTGCCAGTATCCACTAAGTAAAGGAACCAGACCAAGGCCAGGTGCCCCAGCTGACGACACCTTCCCTGACCCAGGGGTGTCCTTCCTGACTGTGGGCCTCTCTGTGAGGACCCTAGTGTGAGGCCTCCAAAGCCTGAAAGCCTGATCCGGAGGGGCAGAGAGAGAGTGTGGGGGTTTCTGAAGGAGGTGGGCTGGGCAAAGAGAAGAGGGGAGGGGGTGGGGCACAGCTAGAGCTTATAGAGAGCCTGACTCCCTCCAGGACTGCTGTGACTCCCAGCCCTTCTCTGAGCAATGGGACAAGTGGGCACTTGTACCTAGATGGCTCTTCCAAGCAATGAGGACACAGATGAGTACATCACCTACCCTCTTTGAGCCTGTTTTCCTCATCTGCAAAATGGCTGGATTTCTCCCCGTCTACTTAAAAATAGGACAACGCTCTAGAGGGAATTTCTTTTCTTTCTTTCTCCTCCCTCCCTTCCTTCCTTTCCCTCCCTTCCTTCCTTTCCTCCCTTCCTTCCTTTCCCTCCCTCCCTTCCTTCCTTCCTTTCTTTCCTTTCTCTCTTTCTCTTCCTCTCTCTTTCTTTCTTTCTTTTCAGACAGAGTCTCACTCTGTTGCCCGGGCCAGAGTGCCGTGGCATCAGCCTAGCTCACAGCAACCTCAAACTCCTGGGCTTAAGCGATACTTCTACCTCAGCCTCCTGAGTAGCTGGGAATACAGGCATGCGCCACCATGCCCGGCTAATTTTTTCTATATATTTTTAGCTGGCTAATTAATTTCTTTCTATTTTTAGTAGAGACGGGGTCTTGTTCTTTCTCAGGCTGGTTTCGGAACTCCTGACTTTGAGCAATCCACCTGCCTCGGCCTCCCAGAGTGCTAGGATTACAGGCTTAGGCCACACCTCCGGGCCCTAGGAGGGAATTTCCGAAAGAGCCCCCGATTTGAAGTGAGCCTTTCTATTGTCCCCACAAAATGCCTACACTTGTCAGTCATACACTCTCAATTTCGAGAAAATAGCCACTGGATTAGAAACTCCCAAGTCCTGTGATTCGCACCACACCTGGGAGTTGCACCTTTAGGTCTTGGAACAGGCCCTCAGACTGCACTCCCAGGGCAGCCGTCCCCGAGTGGGTTCAGATTAGCTGGCCCGTGGGAGCAGGAGGGCGAGCTGGAGCGGCCAGACAGCAGCTCTGCCAGGCGGCCCAGCGCGTACTCCTGGGCTGAGCCCACAGGCACGGCGGGCTCCAGCTGTGGGCGCCCGCAGGGACGCCGCCAGGGGCCGCAGGCGGGCGTGGCCCCGCGCGCCGGGCCTGCGGTTAGAGGCGCGGCCCCCAGGGGGCGCGCACGGCCAGCCCCGGCCGCAGATCTCCAGGGGACCGACCCTTCTGTCAGGGCCCGAGCGGGGCGCGGCCGGCCCGGCTTACTCCGCTGAGGAAACGAGCTGGGACCCCCGCAGTCCGCCTCGCCAGCCTTCCCGCCCTCCCAGGCGCGCGGCTTCCGCGTGGCACTGCCGGCCCGCTCCCTCCCGCCTGGCGCGCCGCCTCTTTGTCTCCCCGCGCCTCCCCTCCTCCCAGACAAATGGCTGTAGGCAGGAAACCGGGCGCGTTCTTGGGGGGATGCGCTCCGCGGCGGCGGTGGCGGGGAGGGGACGCCGCAGCGGCCGGCGGGCCTCGGGTGCCCCCAGCCCGGGCGGGAGCGGCGGGGGGTGTTTTGACATCTCATCAAAGAAAGGAACTTGAAGCTTCGAAAGTGCTTTTCGCAGGCGGCCTGTGTCTGCTCGGGAGCTGATTTATAAACAGAATCAGTGCTCGCCTCGCGCCCCTCCCCCGTCAGTCTGGGGGCGGCGCCCGAGGCGCGGACGCTGCAGTGCCCGGCAGGATTGGGTTTATTTATTGCCTCTGGCCCGCAGCCGGGCGGCCTGGGGACCGCTCACTCCCCTCGGGCCCGAGCCCTCCCCCAGCCCCCAGGGCCGTCTCCATCCCAGGGGTCTGCAGACTCTGGGCGGAGCCCTCCGGCGGCTTGGGGATGGAGGGCGGGGATGGAGGCCGAGAGACGGTCAGGGCGCCCCGCAGGGCCGCGTCCAGCCCTACACCGCACTGACCCAGTAGGGAGAGGGTGGTGAAGCCGGTCGCTGCCTCCCCCTTAGGGTTGGAAAGAGGCTGGAGCTGCCAATCTTAAACTCCCCAGGGGCTCTCCTTTCTCTCCGGGGTAACTCCAAGGCCCCAGTAGCCCTTCCCCTTTAGAATAAATTAAGGAATCTCCAGCTTCTATTCGATCCCAGGGAAAGGGGAAGAAAGGTTTGAGAGAAAGGTCAAGAAAGGTTTGTCCCTGCGAAGAACCACAGCCCTCAGCTGGGTCACCGGCACAGGGCGGGGTCCAGGTCTGTCACAGTGCCCCGGTTTCACATCTAAAGAGTCCGGATGGCCACGGGGTAGAGCAGGGACATGTGTTCGGCCCCCTTAATGGGCAGCTTGCGGCTGGCATAGTGGTGCACAATTTCTGGGACACTGCTGAAGGGCGGGCTGTTCTGGCCCAGCACGTATTTGTGTTCCTTGGTCCGGGACAGCTTCATGTGCATGAAGCCCTGACTGCTCCTGGGAAGAGGAGAGGAAACCCTGGTGAGTGGGGGCGCTCCTCAGTCCCCAACTCACTCATCCAGTCACCCTCCCCACCCCCGCAGCAAGTGTGGTGGTTCCAAGCCAGCTGAGAAGAGGTGGTGAATAGGGAAGGTGGCGGTCAGTCCAGAATGCAGGGTGGTGGCGGCGGCCGTGGTATGAGTAGGTACCATTAGGCATTGGGTTTGTGGTGAGGGCACTGGGTGTGCCAAAAATGTATGTATAGTGAGTATACAGGGTGTGTGCTGATGGAAAATGGAGCAAACCAGCAGGCCCCAACCCTGGGGGTCCAGGCACCCCTGCCCTTCTGCCTATGTGGCTGGGGCCAGTTTGACCTCACCCTTCCTAGCTATGGGGTAGGACACCTGTGAGGGGCTGCTGGTGACTCCTGTGAAGCCACAGATACCCTTGGCAGGAAGGAGGTTGGGGGGGCAGATGTAACAACCAAGCTAGTCTTGGTTGGGGCTCTCCCTCTACAAAGACTAGGGGAAGAGACAAGCTAATCTGGAAGCCCGCCCAAAATCTGGGAATGCTCAGCTGCCTCCTCCTGATGACATCCCTTCACCCTCTTGCTGTCTGGGCCTGGGGC